TGAGTTATATGCACTTGAAAGACAGCAAATTCAAAAAGACTCTTTCTCTGAACTCACCCTTACCTGCCAAAGCCAGATCCTCTAAAGGATTGTAGTTTTAAGTCCCTTCCCCCAGAGTCTTCTCATCCAGGGAAGACTCACTCATTGAATCTTCACATACAGTCATAAACTATGGTACCTTACATCTAGTCTTCTAAGGACCTGTTCATCTTTCTTTAAAGTCATTTACTCTTCCTAAAAAGCCCATATTCCACTTCACGTTTCCCTGTAAAAATGGTATTTAATCTTGAATTTTAAAGTCACCTCCTCATGGGAACTTTGATGGTGAGGGTGGTGTGGTGACATATATCTGAGGAGGAGTGAATCTCTCCCGTAAATCACACAGTGTCGTAAACCCATGTTCTGGGACTCCCTGGTGGCGCAAGGGGTTAAGCACCGCACTATGAAGCAATCCGCAGCCTCTGCAAGCACAAGTTTGATCCCCGGCCGGCCAGAGAGAAACCCACATAGCGAAGCAGACCTCTCCTGACTCGCCTGCTGCTCCCCTCAGCAGTGTATTTCAGTCAGTCTGCCTGTTCTGTTCCCCACTCTGTCTCTGGTGAATCCTCTCACCCCCCACATCTCTGGCCTGTACTCCAGCTCTTACATGCATAAATAGATAAATTTAAAAAAAAAATAAACCCATGTTCTATCAATAAAATAAATGTCACCTCCTTGAGGTATCTCCTATGTGCACAAGAGGGCTGCATGTTAATCAATTTGTTTGCTTTTCTATTGTTAATATGTCCTTTATTACAAGGGTCTCGTAAGAACTCAGAAGGGTAGAGGAAAAAATATTTTTTTGTCCCAACAATTCCCAAAATGAAGAAATAGAAAAGCAGAAATGGGGGTTAGGTTCCAATGAAGTTCAGAACTTAGAAAAAACAAATTCCATGAGTTCTTAAGGCTTCAGCACAATTCTCTCTGACTTGATTCTTCACCCTCCAGACCCCTAGGCTGGCAACACCATGCTTATGGCTCAGGCATGTTGAACTATAATAGGTTTGGGGTGGATGTTACTTAAATTAAATTTTTGTTTTTTCAGATGACTTCTCTAAATTCTTTAAATAACAGGGAAAATCAGACTTTTTTTTTATAATGGTAAACAAGCTGTATCTCTTGTTATGGGCCATGGAAATTTTAAAGAATCTGGTGAAAACTATGACTAGTCATCATCTATTCCAATAAATTAGATCTATTTCTGGTCACTCTACCAGTTTGAATAATCTATTTAACTCTTCTTATGCTAATCCTATACCACTTTGATTATAAAATTTTATATCAGGGCCTCCCCGGTGGCGCAGTGGTTGAGCGCCGGGTTGCGAAGCTGCCCGCAGCCTCTGCAGTGCTGGTTCGATCCCCGGCTGATCCCCGGCCACCGAAGGAGGGTCCCACATGGCACGCAGACCTCTCCTGCCGCCCGCTGCTCCCCTCAGCAGTGTACTTCGGTCCTTCTGCCTGCTCTGCTCCCGGCTCTGGCTCTGGTGAATTCTCTCACCCTCCCGCACTTCTGACTGTACCCAGTGCTTGTATAAATAAATAAATAAAAATAAATCCTTAATAAAAATTTTTTTATATCAAATTTTTTATCTACTAAAACCAGACCATTCTCCTCATTGTTTTTCAAAATCTGAATTCAAAGGGAAATAGAGGGACTTTTAAATTAAATTCAGTAATTATCTGGAAGAAAACAAAATTAGACCCTTACCTTCATACCATCACAAAAATAGGAATAACAATCTAATTTTAAAAAATAAATTAGTAATATTACTAGTCCATAGCTAGATTATTAGTACATGTCTAGAGTTAGAACTTTTAAGCAAGACAGAAAACCCAGAAGCCAAGAGAAAAAGATAGGGATATTCAACTACATGTAATTAAACATTTTACCTTGGCACTATCCATTATAAATAGAATGAAGAAAAAGACAATTATAGGTTAGAAAATATTTGTCATACATGACATGTGACATATTGCTAATGTGGAAATTATTAAGAGAAACACAACTGAATAGTAAAATGGGCTAAGGAAATGAACAGGAAGACATGAAAAGGCCAGTAATTGTATGATGGCAATTTAAATGGATCGGAGTGACTGGAAAATGAAGATACTACAAAGTCAAACAATGAGATACAACTTTTAACCACTGGCAAAATTTTAAACATGCACTAATGGTAACAATAATAGTAGATGATAATTATTAAATCATTGGTATATGCTAAATATTTTAGGTGAATTATTTAATATTTAGGGAAAAAAACAAGGAAGTTTGTTTGTTTTAATTAAGGAATTTGCTCAGCTAGCAAATGAGAGAGCCAAGATACATAACAAGGCAACCTTCTGCCTGGAGTCCAAGCTGTTTCAACAAGCCCAACGCGATGATGAGGGTAGGATAGTCTGATTTGGTAACAACCTGTAAAGAAAGTAATGTAGAAATAGATATTAATATTTAAAAACTCATTTGGGAATGACTTGCCAATCCCAAAACAAAAGACCACCATAATCCTAGCATCATCTATTGTTTGACATCTTGGTAGAACTTACCTGTCAAACCATCAGGGCTGGGCAGCAATTGGTTTCATAGTATTTTTTTTTAAGATTTATTTATTTATGCACACAAGAGCTGGGGTACAGGCCAGAGGTGCAGGGGGTGAGAGGATTCACCAGAGACAGAGTAGGAAACAGAACAGGCAGATCTACCAAAACACACTGCTGAGGGGAGCAGCAGATGAGAGAGGAGAGGTCTGTTGTGCTATGTGGGTCAGCTCCCTGGCTGGCCAGGCAATCAAATTTGTGCTGCAGTGGCTGGCAGAAGCTTGATAGTGCTGTCTTTAACCCTTGCACCACCAGGGAGGTAGTTTTTAAACCACTGATTTTCATAATGGTTAAAGATGTATTCTCAATTTTCAGTTGCTTCTTGAATCAGTTTTGGCAAATTATTTTTTCTAGGAATTCATCTATGCCATTAAGTTGTGTCTCCCAGCTAGGAATCAGCAAACCACCCCCAGCTTCAAGTTCTGACAATCCCCAGCCTCAGGGATGAAATTCCTCCTACCTGTGTTACTTCACCGCCCTCTTTTTACCTTTCCAGTCATCCAACCCCGCTCAACCAATTCCCCATTTTCACTGTTGCAATACTCAGCATGGTTTCTGTTCACCAGCAGGACCCTGACTGATGCCTTGCCTATGCAGTCTAGATTTTCCAGTTTATTATAATAAAGTTATTTATGGCAATCCCTTATTTATTAAACTCTCTGCAGTATCTCATTTTATGTTTCATTCCTGATGTTTGTTGCTATGAGCATAATATCTGAGAACACACTAAATCAGAATTATCTCTAAATGAGAGGATGACAGGGTTTTTTTTAATGTTACATATACCTACATTGTTTGCATTCATTTTATACATATATAGTATCTACAAGAAAAATCATCATTTTAGAGGAAAGAACTAAAAAAAGGCATGGATTCTCTCACAAATGAAACAAAACACAAACGAAGGAATACCCAGACACATGAATGTAAATAGTTACAATTTCAGTTAATAGACTCTAAAACCCATTAATGGATGGTCTAGATTTCTGCTCTAATGGATATAAGGGGAGTTTAATGGCAAAAATTGACTGCCAGTTTCTCCCTTATAACATTTGGAGACCTGGCTCCGCTGAAAAATGACAGACATTTCTCTTCTGTGACAAAAGACCCCAGCCTCGATGGAGTAATGTGTTCAGAGGTCCTTGTTCCTACTGTATGGGCACCTCCATGTGTGAGCTGTGAGGGGTGGGCTGTCTCAAACCATCTAAATCACTAATTCTCAAAGGGGAAATAGGTAGGGACTTGAGTGTGGTTCATAAACACACATCAAATGTTATAATTTAATCTTTGAGGGCCTCCCTGGTGGTGCACAAGGTTAAGTACAGCACTGTGAAGCTATCTGCAGCCTCTACAGCACGAGTTCAATCCTTGGCCAGGGAGCTGACCCACATGGTGCAGCAGACCTCTCCTGACTTGCCTGCTACTCCCCTCAACAGTGTATTCCAGTAGATCCACCTGTTCTGCTCCCCACTGCATCTCTGGTGAATCCTCTCACCCCCTCTGCACCTCTGGCCTGCACCCCAGCTCTTGTATGCATAAATACATGTTTAAATAAATTAAATTAAAAAAATAATTTAATTTTTGACAGTAGCATATTGTTTGCAGAAGATAATTTTGTCTGGTGGGGAAAACACCACACCGAACCAACTCCAGAGAGATGAGACAAGTAGCTGGGAAGGTAGGCAGATCATTCTCTTCACCCATACTCAGGGGGTTGAACTTCACCCTGAAAGCATACCCTGAAAGCAAATACAGGAATTACTTAAAGGCTTTAGGTTGGGAAATGACATGATTTGATTCTCTTTAGAATTCTTTTGCTGCAGGGTGAAGAGTGAATGTAGGGGAGGAAGCCCCGGAGACAACTTTAGAGATAATGATCAGGCTTGGATAAAGAGGCATATCAGAGGTAGGATATCTTTGGACTTATTCATTTGGGGGTGGATGAGCCAAAGAGGAGTCAAGTCAGATTCCCAGGTTTCTGGTGTGGGCAGCTGGGAGATGGTGCCATCTTGATAGAGAAAGCTGGCAGCCGCATGAGAGTATTTGGCGAGGATAAAAAGATTAGATCCAACACACATACTATTTTTCTTTCCTTGCCTCTAGGAGATTGAAACAAAGTCCAGGAATGGATTCCAGGGCTGAAACCCACTTCCAGGTTCCCTGCCACCTTTTCCCGAGAAGTGACCGCTTCTGTAGCACCACCCTCTGGGCTGCCCTCCCTTCCCCTCTGCTCAGTGAGCTGGAATGTTCTCTTAGCCATCACCTCCAGTCTTCCTATCAGCATAGTTGGAGCAGATGATAAATTTAGGATAAAGTCACAATGAAAAAGGGTTACAGTAGCCCAAGGGTAGACTAACAATCAAACAAGACACATATTAATAATTGATATATATTTTTATTATGCACAGATAAAAGACTTAAAACTGTGGTTATCAAAACTATACATCTAAGCATGTTCACAAAATTGCTGACACATTGAACAGAGAAAAGAATACACTAGGGGTGTTCAAACTGGCCACAGGGATTTTAAGGGTACTCTTTTTACCCTCATAGATGATGAAAATCATCAACAAAATCAGGCTCATTCAGAAAAAAAACAGAAGAGAGAAGTATTGTATCTGGAAAGTGATAATCATCCTTTCAGTAAAACATCTGTCAGTTTCATGAACAACCCCCAGATAAAACAAATAGGACAAAACACATGATCCACCCAACAAAATGTGCTCTGTTAACACAACCAGCAGTGCAGCCATCACACAAACCATGAGGTAGTTACAGTACAAAAATACTGGCCCGTGATACGGGCCCCACACTCGCTCTCAATCATGCCCCCACAGAACACACACAGGAAATGGGTTTACAATCTTCTTATGAGACAAGGAAAAGACCATTTTTGTTTTGTTTTGTTTTGTTTAGAAAATACAATAGAAACAGCTTAGAAGAAATCTCTGACTTTCAAAATAGAGACTGTTAAGTCTAGACCACATGATGAGAAGCTAAAGGCTATTACACAGGTAATCTGCCTTGGAGTTTAGAGCATTTCAACAATAGCTTTACATCAAACAAAACAAAATGGCCTCTGTGAATAAAGGGTGTAGCCTGCAGAAGTAACAAGACTCTGCAGATACAAGAGTTTACTGGAATATAACAACAGTTTTAAAGAAACTTGCAGAATGTGTTATAAAGTAGAGCTTGTAATTTGTATTAAAACTGTGAAGTAGGAAGCAATTGGAAAAATGCTGTAATGAGAAGTTAGGAAGAAGTTTTTTTTTTTTTAAATGATCAGTTTTTAGAAATGTTTTCAGAAATGCTGAGTGACATTTACTCTCTGATTAACATGAAGTCAGGTTTCATGAACAGGGATTGCTGAATAATACTTGTGACAATAAGCTCCAAAAAAAATCAAAGATGATGATTTTCTCCCCTCTTTCCTTTAAAATCTTTTGGTTTGCATCTATAAATTTGTAAATTAATTTTAAACTATTTATAAAATCATTGGCAATGTAGCATCTCTCTTAAAAATATACATTTAAATATATTACAAAAGGTTTTAATCCCGTCCATCTATGCATTCGACCTTTCAATACCTCTTAATAGCTCATTTTCTTTTTCATAAGATGGAAAGGGTTTTTTAAAAGGCAAAGAACTGATCAAAAGAATTCACAGTAACTGAAATTAAACATCTCATATGGAGTAAGTTAAATTTATCTAAAACACTTAAATATATCTTTATACACATATTTTTGTAGTAAAATATAGCTATAAGTGACTTAAAGACTCTAGTCTTCTTTGAAGACATCTTTAAACTTTTTTTATATATAGAATATGCTTAAACAATACATTCTGCTGAAGGTTAGGCAAAGCGCATTATTTTTCAAACACAGGTAGCGTAATCTAGGTCCTCCACTCTGATACCATGTATGTTAGAAAAGAATTAACCAAAGGGAAAAACATTCTTTTTTATCTCACATCTTCATTTGAAAATGTGCAAAAATTTTCAATGTAGCAATGCAGAGAGCCTGCAAATCTTAGCTCTCAAGTAATCTCTTCTGGTTAAAATTATCCTGATAAATATCTACATGGAGCAAGTCAATCAGAATATTGTTTACTCTATGACTGTGTAACAGTGATCATTAATTTCCACCTACTTGTTTGCCTTGTAGACAGATTCTACTCTCAAATCTTGGGTGCCAACATTCCTATTTAGGGTTCCATTCACAGAGAACCAGGCATAACCTGCTTATTTTAAGGATGGTGAGATTTGCTTATGAATATGTTGGCGTACAGTCTAGCCTTGTTCTATTTGTAGAATTCTGAGTCTGGGGGGAATTCTAGAAAAGTGAGTACTATTTATTTGCAATGAAGCTATCCTCAGTAGTAAATTATTTGGCATGGAGATGTTCCTCTGGCATTCTTTTAAACATAGAGGTATCAGTTGAGCTTATTTTAGCTGCAAAGTGGCATCATATTATTCCATTTCATGAAATTCACCTCAAATTCTTCTTGAGTTTGGGATATATTTAAGGCAAGAGAACTGAGGCAACCCAATTGGGTGCCTTTTTTCATATCTCAGTACTTTCTTGGCAGAATTGGTGAGATAACTGTTCCGATAAATGATCAGAACTGAGCTAAATCTGCCATGCCTTTTCATCTCACAAGAGCTTGATTCTTCCAAAAGGAGTTATTAAAATGGTTGACGTGTTTTGAGTGGAAACACAAATTCTACCAAACATATTTATGAATAAGTTCCAACTCGGAAGGTGTAGGGCATTTTCAAAATGGGAATGGGTTTTCTCTTCATCTGGAAACGAATATACCAGATGACCTATTATCTACTTGTACTTGTACATATACCCCCATGCAAATTCCTCCTAACTTTACAACTGAATTTTGTCCCAATTTATACCCTAATTCATCAAGATAAAATGTCATCAATGGCACAAATCTGCAGTCTCAAAGATGCACCATTTTCCATTTCTCTAGGTCTGTAATGAAGTAGGAAATTTGCATTAAGACATTTTTGCAGTTGTCTGCAGTGTGGGCAGGAGGAGGACACTGAGGAGGGAATCAGCATGGTTTTGGCCCGGGGCACAAGAAAGGAATGTCGCCTGATATGGGTCAGGATGCAGTCCCTGAGGGCAGCGGCCATCTAACCTGACAGATCAGCCCCCAAGGGGTGTGGCAGCAGGTGACAAGTGTCCATCCAGACAAAGGTGCAAATTTGACAGGGAGAAACTTTAGAAAGTCTCGAAGCATTTCTTTTGTTTTACATCGTGGTTCAGTTATAAAACCATCTTTGACCACATCTCCTCACTGGTTCTATTCTCTGTTTACCAACTTCTTGAATCTCAAGAAAAACTCAGGGTCCCGTTACGGATGTTATTACCTGGACAAAGCAGCATTTTAAGAACTGGCATGTGTTTCACATTGAAAACCCCCAAGCCTGTGAGGGGCTGGTGAAGAAGGCCACCACCTTAGCTTTCTCACATGAATTCTAGTGTGTTACAGTCCAGAGGTCACGTTTACAGTAGCCCTGGGTGGGGGGAGGTTGTGAATACAACAGGTGATCTTTACATCAAAATTCATTCTCTCCTTGCAAGGGGACCACAATCGAGCCTTCGAAGTCTGAGTGCATGTCAGTGCGGCATCAGGCCTGTCCTCCCCGCGCAGGCGGGCTAGGCCGCGCTGCTGCTGGAGCAGGGTGTGCTCTGTGTGCTGCCGATGCTGTGCGCTGCGCTGCTGTTTTCTGATGCTGGTGGGGAGGTGGGGACTTGCTGCCTTCCTGCCGTCTCCCCTGCAGTCAATAAAGAAAAGGGTGGGGGGAGAGGTATGTTATGCGTAAGTACTCCTGTAGAGAACATTTTCCTGGCTGATGCTTTTCTCCACCATGGTTGGAAGCAACAGGATCAGAAAGTCTCACACCATCAGGTTGTTGTGTTTTTTTGGTGCTTTGTTTTGAAAAGCTCTTGCAGGAGAAAACTTTTCAAGCTGACTGATGGGGAGTTATAGTGGCTAAGATCCCAGCTAGTTAATGAATCCCCAGGTCCAGTGCCTTTGCAAATACTACCACCACCTGTTCTGTGTGATCCAGCTGACTAGCACCTGCATCCAAGAAGCTCCATCCATCTCCTCTCATGCAGGTACTGCACGAGTTGGAGAGTGTGATGTTTCAACCGGGGTAGGAGAACCTAGGCAGTCCAGGGCCTCTTTCTGAATGCATCTGTATAAATGGGGGCGGCGAAGGCTAGATTTTACCCTAGCTACAGCAGAGAACTGTAGCTAGGAACAAAACTACCTGAGGGATGGAGACAGGAGGAGGTTACTACAGGGTTGCGCAAAATGGAGGTGGAAAGGGGCCTGGTTGCTGGCACATGGGGACTGTGGTTGCCAGGGAACCTCCCACCCCCATTCTGAGGTTCATTGTGAGGTGCAACATGAGTCTCTCCTAACACATTAAGAATCCCACTTTTCATTACACACCCCAGTGCATTTTAGCTAAACCTATTCCTTATGCCAAATGTGCAATGCTTTGGAGAGGGAGGGACCCTTGGGTCACACACATGGTTTGCATTTAGCCCTGCAAAAGGCTCTAGAGCTAAATCTTTTCCTCAGCAAAACTAGCCTCAGGGCAGCCCTCAAAAATGGCTCTAGGTAGGGAAAAGTGATCAAGGCTCTCCCATGACAGACACTGCGTTTTCCTTGAAAAGTCAGCGCATCAACCTCCTAAACTTCTGGTCAGCAGTCTGCTCCCTTCAATATGGGAAGCCCCAGAGGGCCAAGTCTATTTATGAATGAGCCTCCTCTTTCCTGTCCTGCTGAAACACACAGCTATGGGCCAGAGATAAGCAAGCCTCCCTCCAGCTGCTTCATTAAAACAACACACAGAGCAAAGGCTCTGCCCTGCAAGAGCAGGATCTTAGCCGGTTACTTCCATCCCCTTTCGGGGGCCCCTCAAAAGCCTCTGCCAGAAAGCAGTTCTGCAAAACTTAGAATGGCTCATGCCCTTGGGTCTGGTTACAGCTGGTTACAGCTTTCCCTGACACCACTTTTACAAACACATTTTTGCATCAACCTCAGGGCATTTATATGCTTGTTGTGTATTTGGCAATTGCTATATTTCCTCTTGTTATTTTTTTTTTATTTTCTGAGAATGGTGGGATGGAGGGGGAATAAGGGGTCAATATTCCTAAGAGGCCATGAACCACTGTAGTTTCACTCTATTTTTCTGGGAAATCTGTATTTTGGACCATTCCCAGCATTGTCCTGGGGTCTGGGGGATGGGGGAGGAAGAGGGAGAGAGAGAGAGAAATTAAAGGTGAAAAAGTTTGCATCAACGACTGTGCCTTTCTGCCAGAAATTCACTTTTCCTAGAGTGGGAGCTTCAATTCTAGAAGGAAATCAAATCTCTTGGCTACACTGATATGTACCCAAAGAGCTCCCCCAAACCAAAACACCTCCTGTGATCTGAACAACTTTCAAAGTTCATTCCCTAACACCTCACATGTGGATCCACACCCAGCTGATCCTCACCGTCAATTAAGACTAATGTGAAGCACATTTTAAAAATATCGTTTTCCCTATTTAAACAAAGGATACACCAAAACAGCAGGAAGTCAGTCAGCCCCTCTTGGCTCACCTGAGCTTCAGTTGCTCAGCTCATGCACGATGGCCTTGCCTCATCTATTGACAGTGAACAAGTCTGTTTCATCTAGAACTTGACACATACTTGATTATTCATATTCAGGAAAAGTGCCAGTACTACTCCCTGCCCAGGAAGTCTGAATATTTGCTTTCCGATGTCTATTTGCCAAATATAATTTGTTGCCATGTCAGTTTATTTTAATCAGTGCCCATTAAGAAGGCCTTTCAACTTGCAGAGTTTTGGAAACTCTGGTGCTGCTAATGCAAAACACTGACCAAGAGGAAGCCCTGTGCAAAACAGAACAAAGCAGCCCCCTGCACTCAAGGCTGCGGAATTCATGTCATCGAGATGCAGGAGTCAACTTAACCTAATAATCTAGTGACTCTCAACCAACAATGTGACGAGGAGAATCTTGTCCGAGGGTCTGCTGGGAAATGTTGAAAATGCCGTCTTCAGATTATTCCTTCTACTTCTAGTTCTGGGGCTATTTTTACATGTCAGAAATGAGATTTCTTGATAGTAGCCATGTTGTTTAAAAAAAAAACTTTTACCTTTGGAGAGATTAAGAAAGCATTTATTCATTGTCAGATGGAAGTGGCACTACAGAAAAATCCAACTGAAAGAAACAAAGTTTAAGGTATAGCTGCCTCTGCTTAAAAGCCAAGAAGTTAGTCAGGGCTGACCTGGGTTTTCTGCTCTCTGTCCCAGTGACCCTCTGATTACTTGGAGCACTGATTTTTCTCTAAAATGTCTGTTTCTCTAAATCAACCAGCCAGCTTCTGGGAAAGATGGGCGAAAAAAGCAGAGTAAGCCAACTTAGCCAGTGTAAGGTGTCTAAGGAAGCTTATCAAATGTGGCCATCAGAGAACGTTTCCTCTTCATGCCTTTGTTCCTAAAATCTCCAACATATTGAGGAAGAGGGCTCTGTGGAAGAGGAGAGTGAGCAGGAGAAGCAGGCATGCAGTGCATGTGCAACATCGGAGGAGGGTACATTAGGACAAGATAGAGGATTAATTTCATCCAGTTTACTTATCAGCCCGTGGCTGAGCCTAGATATTGCCAAAGATGCTTTCAGAAACAGAAGAATATATTTCTTAAGGGACAACCTGTTTTATTTCTTTAGCTTGTCCTGGAGTTGTCCAGATCAGGTTTTCTGCCACTTCTTTGGCAGTCTACTTCACAACTGGATTCTAATCTTTAACTTTTTCAGAAGAAACTATATCTAAGAAAGATGAATAAATGAAGAGGCTCTACAGGGAAATAACAGAAGAATTCTAAAGACAGCTGAGGGGAGTCTCTGATTACTTAACTCCAAGGAAACTTCACAAACATTGCCTGTAGAAATTAAAGAGGAGCAGAGAGCTGTTCTGGATCTCCCTAGATGGGAGAACATTAGGAGGTGAGTTTAAATGGCAGCACTAGGGACTCAGGTCATATAGAAAAGAACTTGCTGATTATGAGGACTGGCTAGTTATAAGGGAAATTTATAGAATTCTCTTTCTTGAGAAATATTTATGCATGATTAAAAACCATATGCCTGGAGGTAATAGAATTTATGATTATTTGATGCCAGAAAGAAAACAAAGATCGCTTCCTCCAGGCCTAAGTGTTGGTTGCAATTTTGCACCCATTAGTGCCTTGAGTTCTTGATATCCTAATTGTAATTATTTCATAAGCTCCCTCCTGTAAAGATAGTGAACTAGACTCTAATACCTTTAATTAATTTTTTTTAAAGTTTTATTTATTTATGCATACAAGAACTGGGGTAAAGGCCAGAGGTGTGGGGGTGGTGAGAGGATTCACCAGAGACAGAGTAGGGAATAGAACAGGCAGACTGACTGAAATACACTGCTGAGGGGAGCAGCAGGTGAGACAGGAGAGGTCTGCTGCGCCATGTGGGTCTGCTGCGCCATGCTCCCTGGCTAGGAATTGAACACGCACTGCAGTGGTTGTGGAGAGCTTTATAGGTTGCGTCTTAACTGCCACCCCAACACCCTCCACCCTCCAAGCCAAAAGACCTTTCTTTTGTAGACAAAACTCTGCAGAAAGGTGGGTTAGATGTTGCTGTAAGTTATGGGCAAAGGAGACATGTTCCAAAGTAGGATTTAAAATCTTTCAAAATAGGGCCTCCCCGGTGGCGCAGCGGTTGAGCTCTGGGTTGCGAAGTTGCCCGCAGCCTCTGCAGCACCAGTTCAATCCCCAGCTGCTCCCAGGCCACCGGAGGAGGGTCCCACATGGCGCGCAGACCCCCCCTGCCGCCTGCTGCTCCCCTCAGCAGTGTGCTTCGGTCCTTCTGCCTGCTCTGCTCCCTGCTCTGGTTCTGGTGAATTCTCTCACCCTCCCGCGCTTCTGACTGTACCCAGTGCTTGTATAAATAAATAAATAAATCTTAAAAAAAATAAAATAAAATCTTTCAAAATATCTGGCCTATCACTTTCTGTGCTCCTACAGCAGCATCCCTACCTGCGTGCACTTGCTCCTGGTTTTTCATGTGTGTATTGTTTTACCTTTAGCCTCAGCACTAGGGTGAAAAGGGTGGATCCTGCCTTTCTGACAGCCTCCTCTCTTTTCCAGCTGTATCTTCCCGACCCCTGCAAGATACAGGGGTCACACCTTAGCCTGTCTTCTTGCTGCTTCTCTCTTTACCTAGACTGGGCTTGGGAATTGGAGAAAATGCATATCTGTCAAAACATCTCCTTAAACATTTTACATGGTGGTAGGAATTTGGAGTTCAGGTGGCTTTTCAGATGCTCTTTAAGTACTCTCACCTCCATGAAGTAGGGATCATCTCTGTGTTTATTTACTAATATGGTTAATACACCTGGCTCAGGTAACAAGACTAGCAATTGAACAAACTACAGCTTTGAATCCAATCTGAACAGACCTCAGCTAAGGGCTGTACAGATACATTTATAGGGAACGCTTTCCTCCACCTCTCCTGCTTCCTCCTCTTACTATATCAGACTTGGAGTGTATCCTGTTCAGGAGCCACAAAAGCAGGGCCAAGTAAGATCTATTATAACAACATCTAACACACCCCTCCTGCAGACTTTTGCCTGTAAAACAAAGGTATTTTAGCTTGAAGCAAGGGAGGGACAATTTAAACAAATTTTTTTTTTTTAAAAACAGTAAGTGACTGAAAGCATCTCTAA